TGTCTAATAAATGTAGACTTAAGACAAAATTGTCATTCAAAGAAGGCAGCAGCAGATGATTAAAGGTGATAAAAGAAAAAAATGTAACCTAGGGTATTACATTAGGGTATGAGCAGAAATTGCAAAAATACCTGCTTAATTTTTTAGAAGACAGTTTCTGCAGGAAAATATTAGAGGTTGAGTGTAAGCATCTACTGTGAGTCAGATATCCTATGCACACTTTTCCTTTTAGTCTTCATGACAAGAACATAAGTAGTAATTATAATGGTCTTCACCTTTGGGGAAACTAAGGTTCAAGACACCAGCCACCTCAAACCAAAGTTGCACACAGCTAGTAAGGGTTGGCAGCTAAAGGAGATCTTTGTCAAACTTATGCTTTAAAAACAAAAAAACCCCAAACAACCAAAACCTAACCATCTATATTACAATGCCATTCAAAAGAAATGAATTCAGAAGACAGCTGAGGTGAATGCAGCTGGATAAATGTTTTGCAGATTGGCCTGGGGGACCACTTTTCCTTGTGAAAGTAACACATTAGCAGGGATGAGAACTACATTGCAGAAGTTGAAAGTAACGTAGAAAGAAGTAAGAGAAAAATCAGAGGTAGTGGGCGCAGACCACTTCTTTATAAGAATTTTGGGAGCAAAATGCATAGTAAATTATGAAAAACCATTCAATGTTGAGTTTTCTTAATGTATTTTTGGGTAATATCTAGAAACACAGGTGAAATGATGGTCCCAACAAAGAGTGTGTTTATTCTCTAGGATGGTGACATTTACAAGCTCTAAAGCCTCAATCATTGTTTTTAAAATCATTCCCATATACTGGATACTTCTTAAAAGTTTTTTGTTGTTGTTGTTGTTGCTGTTATTGTTTTTAAATAAAGGAGTTGAACTAGCACTTCATTTCCCAACATATAATCTATTGGACTCTCTTGGAAGAACCTCCCAGTATGTATTTTCTTTAAAGCCGTTTTATTAACAATGGCAGCAGACGACAGCACGGACACCTCCATTCAAGATGTTGATGTATTTTTGGGAGAACCTTTACATTTCTTATGATGTCAGAGAGAAGAAATGGATCATATAGGAATTTTTTTAATGAAGAAAAGAAGGCATAATTTAATTTCAGTTTTTGAAAAAAAAAAATTCCTATTAATTTTGGGCAGGGTTTCTCGCTGTTGTTCCCAGAGCTGAGTTTTCAGTAATTTGTTATTAGTACTCACTATACTTGCTGAAGATTCTGCTACTGAATATTTTATAAAGCAGGAGGATGTGAGGTCTCAATTTGGATGACTGCCAAGTCTAAATCTCTCACCTTGACATCCTGGCTCAGCTCCAGCCCCATGTTCTCAGCTGCCGGAGGTTAGCCCCATTTTAATATCCCATCATTAACTTAAATTCAACAAGTGCAAAATCAAACTTCGTATTTTATTCCTCAAACTCTTCCTGCTAACTTCCTTATTTTTGTTAATAGGCCTATTGAACTCGTGACCCATACTGAAACATTCAACTTCAGACTTCAGTCATAAGACCTACTGCATTGAGAGCTTTCTTTCATATATATATTCTTTTATATATATATACTTTTTTTGTTGCACTTTAGGTTCTGAGGTACATGTGCAGAACATGCAGGATTGGATAGGTACATACATGGCAATGTGGTTTGCTGCCTCCATCCCCTTGTCACCTGTATCTGGCATTTCTCCCCATGTTATCCCTCCCCAACCTCCCTACCCCCTGCTGTCCCTCCCCTATTCCCCACCAACAGGCCCCAGTGTGTGATGCTCCCCTCCCTGTGTCCATGTGTTCTCATTGTTCAACACCCGCCTATGAGTGAGGACACGCGGTGTTTGATTTTCTGTTCTTATGTCAGTTTGCTGAGATCAGGAATTATGATGTTAAGAGTTTAGCCAACATATGTATTTAATTGTCACCAAAACTCTTTGAGGTAGGTACCAGTATTATTATTCCTTTACAATGAAGAAGCTGTGGCTTAGTGAGATTAGTAATTTACTTGAGGTCACTTAACTTGTGCCCAGGACAGCAGGACTCAGACCTAAGTCTGCAAACGTCCAGAGCTCGAAACTTTCAACTGTCTTTTCACACTGGCAGGCATCCCCAGGCTTTTTACAGAGGGGGCCAGTTCACTGTCCCTCAGACCGTTGGAGAGCCGCCACATACTGTGATCCTCTCACTGACCACCAATGAAAGAAGTGCCCCTTCCTGAAGTGCGGCGGGAGGGGGGCGGATAAATGGCTTCAGGGGGCCGCCATGCGGCCCGCGGGCCCTAGTCTGGGGACACCTGCCTTAGAGTCTCTTCTGACTCCTCCTTCCCCTGGCCTATTCTTGTAGGCCTTGCCCCTACAGAGTCTCATACAACCATCCTCTCCTTTCCATTCCAAATGCCACTGCCTCATCCAGCCTCTATTACCTCTCACCACCCCCAGTGAGTCTTCCTGATCTTTTCCAAAATAATCATCTTCTTTGAGCGTCACTTCATTTACAGTGTTAGTCAAATTAAAAACCTTTGATGACTACTCATTTTCTAACCCAGACGTTCACAATGTATCCTTCTAATCTTAGTTCTAACCACTTATCTTCACGAACACTGTGTGGTATCCAGTCTAGACTTCCTGTACTCTTCTGCCTGTTGAAATTCTACTATCTCCTTCGCAGTCTAGATTAAATTTTCCTTCTTTTCACGAAGGCTTCCATGATTCTGTTAATTGGATAACGATATTCTGGACTTTTCTTATGACAATATATTTGAGCCTATACTGTGGTCACTGGTGGACTTTTTTCATCCCAATAGGATCCTAGTTCCTCAGGGGTTGAACTGTGTTTGCTTTATCTGTGTAGCTGGGAGTTATGTAGCACAGTGCAATGCACACGATGGTTACTTTAAAAGTAAAAATAATTTTTCTTGCTAGGCACTGTCAAGTTATGTGGTCCATGTCCTCAATATGTCTTCAATCTATTAATAGTAAGGAAACAAAACTAAAATCAAAAGTTAGCTAGAGAACAATCAAGAGCTCGACCATGAGAATGATTAGAGAAGAGAGAGAGACCAGGAGGCGAGCAATGAACAGAGAAGGACCAAGAGAAAAGGTGAGACCTGAATGTAACCCTGAAAAGTGAAGAAAGTTGCTTGAGTGGGAGGCAGGAAAGTGTGAACAAAGGCTCTGGGGCAGGGATGGGCACGGCTGGTCGGGGAAGAAGGTTGGCACTTTAGGAGAGGAAAAAATAGCAGGGAAATTGAGGGTGTTTCAAAGTAAAATAATTCCTTCAAATTTATAGTGTAACTTTTTAAAAAATTTCTCATGGTAAGGTTCTGTGTGATGACTAGCTTCTCCCTAGTTGCAATGAGTGAGTTTTTTACTATGTATCCCTATACTGCTATGTAATTGCTAGAATTCATCACTGAGTATCTGAATTACAGTGCATGGCAATATGCCGGCAAACTGCTTTCTTTTTTGTTTTTTAACTGTCATTAGCTTTTATAGTTTTTAATTTAATTTTATTTTTTAAAGACGGGGTTTCACCATGTTGGTCAGGCTGGTCTTGAACTCCCAACTTCACGTGATCCACCCGCCTTGGCCTCCAAAGTGCTTGGATTACAGGCATAAGCCACCACGCCCAGCCATCGTTTATAGTTTTGATTCCCAGCACAGCTTGGGGAAGATGGTAAGATGTTATCTCATGGATTAGAATTTAGAACTCTAAAACAAACAGTCATTGTTATAACAGACTTTCTATATGTTAAAGACGTTTCTTTACTTTGATTGATTCATACAAATTTTTAAGATGATTACCCCCGCTGTTGTTCCAAGAAGGGAGAAGTTCACAAATGCATAATGAAAATAGGAAGCTCATTTATTTATTATACTTGTAATCTAACCCAGATTTAAAACTGGCCTATGGAAATTGACAAATATTGGTTGTGATAAATCATGATATAGACATATTTCCACTAATGCACTAACAGGAAAAAAATAATGAAAATTGACAAATTCATTTTGAATAATCAAAATGAATAATCTGGCTTTAAAAGCCAGAAAACAGCAGGAGGAAATGGATTTTAAAAGTATCCATTTTTTTATTACATTTCATTTTGGGGAAAAGTAAGACACCAAAACATTTAAAAATTAAAGCATTGACTGGGCTTCCATTTGCTAAACTTTTTTTTGACATGACAAATCTTTTTTAAGACTACAGCTTTGCTAATTTTCTCCATATGTGCACAGTTTGTCTTTGACCTTTAACAAATGTCCTTTAGGCAGTCCACTTACCCTCCAAGAACAACGCCACAGCATCATTTTACTTGTACACAAAGACTTGAAAGCTTCATAAAAATAAATGATCCGTGGCACAAGATACATTAACCGGCAGAATAATAAGCTATTTCAGCCTTGTAAATTTTAGTGCCCATCTATTCAAAACCTCCCTGGGTCATTTTAGTATTAAATTCATAGGAGTAAAATGGTAAATACACACGTTTTATTTGTTAAGGTGCCAGCTATATATTTGGTGAAAAAGTTTATTAGCCTAAGATATTTAAAAGCAATGTCTCTCTCCAATAAATGATTTTATGTGTTACAGACACATTTAGTATTAAGTATCATGTATATTTAATATCACAATGTCTACTTCAGTGCCCCAAAAAACCTTTGTTCACTTTATAGTTTCCATTACTGGAGAGCCAACATTCAGTTCTCCCACAATTGTGTAAAGTGCAGGCAGGCCACAAGAGCTTCTAGTTTTAGCTTGCAGCCCGTGGGACCACGAAACTTGTTATGAAGCCATTAATTCTACCTCAGCAGTTTCAACTGTCAGGTACATGTAACAATAATTGCACTTAATGAATGCTGCTCAATTTATTAAGCATAAAATGAAAACCAGTATTCTTTTACATGCAGCACTGAGGCATATTATTTATCATTTGTGTATACCATGTTGAATATTCTACCGTCATTTATTGGTCAGGGTATATAGCCATAGTTTTTCTAAAGCTTCTCTTTATTAAAAAAACAATGCAGGAAATTGTAACTCTCTAATTAAAGAATAATTAAAATAATTAGTACCAAAACAAATATTTAATAAGAATCTGTATCCATGGAAAACAATCCAGCAAAACCAAGACCAAGTTTCTGCTTTAGATAAACAAGATTCTTTCTGTGCTACTCTCTCCTTCCCCAGCCTTTGCTAGAATATGAAAAAATTCAAAACCTTCCAGCTGGTTGAATTATCAGTGTTGTTTCTTTCTTAAGTTTTTGGCAGTAAAACTTTCGTGTACAGACATACAGCCCGCCTCATGATTTTCCAAGGTAAGAACTGGACTTCTTATTTTCAGTCACTCAAGGTAAACTGCATAGACATTCGCAAGAGCGAAGAGGGAAGAATTTCTGAAAGCATAAGATGAAAAGGTATCGCTGTTAGGATCCCAGAGGCATCTGCTTCCAATAATTATGCTCTGCCTGTTCAGTTGTCCAATGTGCACAATCACAATTAGCTTGTATCGTGGAATCATCAAGTCCTTGACCTGGGCTTTAATAACCTAGAAATTTAAAGAAAGGGAGGGTCTGAATTTAGCTACATTGAAACTCAAAAGTATTAACCTTTGTTATAAATATAGGGGATTTTAATTAATAGCATGATGCATTATAGACACTGAGTAATTGTTGTAGAACCATAACTGTGATTCCGTTCAAGCATGGTCCTCTTGATATAGAAAATTCAGGTACAAAATTATAACACTAGCAATAAATCTACCTCTTCTTCTAAGATACATGAAATAATTATAATCCAGAGCACAGAATTTAATAAATTACATTCTTTGAAAAATTTTGTTAAGATGGCTTCTCATCAAAGAATGTCGGCATTGGAGTTACACTGTCTTGTTCATGTCTAATTAAGGAACCATTTGGAGTCTCCTGTAATATAACTAATCATTAATGTTTATTAAAACGTTTGTTATAAAAAAGAAAGCAGAGAAAATCTTGATGAAGTGCCAGCCCTGGGGTTGGTAAAAATAGAAACGTGCTTAAAGACCACAATGTCTGTTTTTGATGGCACTCAAATAAGCTTCCTTAGTGAAGAGAAAATAATCATTAAAATGTTACATATTTTGCAATAAAGACTTATAAATGGGGCAGTTTTGTACACTTTTACGTAATGCATGCAAATGTGATGCACATGATTGTTTTAGACAAAGGCTACATATACACACACACACTCATATACGTAGAATATGACCTAATTATAAATATACATTATAACTTTTTCTGCAAATTAATTCCCCTCATCAAAAAGTAGAGGGTTTATTGTGCTTTCAGCAAATATTCTAGCTATGGTTAACACTGTGGGCAAATCACACATGTACCTCAGAAATGGTTTTAGTCATCTGTCTACAGAGCTCTGGTTCATATTCTTCTACTTGTAGATAGCTGGTTAACACATCTTTCAAAATATGATTGACCGTGACCACAGGAAAATGCTTGGGAGGACCTGAAAATATACATCAAATTCCTTCTGAAAAATAATTTCAAATCACACCCGCCCATCCACCCCACAGGCTAAACAAAAGAGTATGGAAACATGGAGGGATTTAATCTTCTGGGTGGCCTTAATTAGGTTTCCCGTTAGGTGCTCTGGGAGAAGACAAGAAGACAATAGTTTCATATGCTTACCCAACTACCTCAAAAGTGTGTTCAATACTGCTGGGGTTTGACATTGAAAGTCTCTTCCTTCCCAGGATCCATTGTTAGGGACATACTTCAAAGTCTCAACAGCTTTCTAACTGGCTCCCTACCTCTTATATCTCCCCCTCCAATCTTAAGATCTGTCAGCAGATCTTAAGTGACACTCCTTTTAGCGAGGTCTAAGGGGTGGTTCCTTGAGGCCTCCTCTCCCGCTACCACAGTGCCTCACTTGTGGACTGCTCCAGCCTCACAGGCTCCATCTGTCTTTACTCTTGCTGTTCAGTTTTCAAATGGAATATTTTCCCCCATCTTGTTCATCTGAGAAACAGCCACTCATGTTTCAAGGCCGCCTCTAATCTCTTCTTCTCCAGGTAGTCCTCTACCTCCTCTCAGGAAAAAATGTCCTCCTTTGGGACAATGTCCCCTCGTTTGCCCCTCTTTCCTTGCGATGGGTCCCCACTGCCATCTGGCTCCTAATCTATTTGATATTGGCTAAAGCATACCTGCGTTTCCAGTGAAATGGTAAGCAAGCTCAGATTTTATCCTCCTCAGAGTCTAACACAATGCTAAAGGCATAAGAAATTTTTAATGTATGATTTCTGAATTTAAAACAAATTAAAAATTTTATAGATAATCATTATATATGATGTATGATTGTATATTGTATACATATACAATAATGAATACTTTTTATTAAGCTTTTGCTTCATGTCAGGCAGTGCGATAAGCACTTCATATTTATTACCTTATACAGTCTTCGAATAGATCTCCGAGGTGAATCTTACTGTTATCTCCACTTGGCAGATAGGGAAACAGAGATTTAAATACATTGACTAACCTGCCCAGAGTCACACACAGAGGCAGAGCTGGGTTGAGCTGCAAACCCAGGTTTATCTGATGCTACAGCTTATATTCTCTTTTTTTTTTTTCTTTTTTCTTTTTTTTATAATTCAGTCTCTGTAGAGACTGTCAAAAATTGCCAATGCCGACTATATTTCAAGTCGTCACGGCAGGGTATTGGGAAAAGTTTTCAATTAGCAATAAGCACGCCTTGGATAAACCTCATTGGCTACGATACTGCCACTGTGCAAAGCTCAGCTTATATTCTCAACCACATTTCATCCACGTTCAGAGAAGAAGCTTCGCATGCAGAGGCTCAATCACTATTTGAGGAATTGATAAAGATGAAGGAGTGAGATCAAGAATTCTATTCAATTCTCTTTTAATGGTCATCAGTATCTATTAATAAGTGTTTGTTTGTGATGACTGTATCTATCAAGGTCAAAGGAAACGTATGGTGCCTTAAAGTTAAAATAATTCCAGGCGGAAGTTCTGAGTGGGATGGAGAAAATCATAAGGGATAGTTCCGTGCCCCTCAGCCAGTGAAAGTAAGGTTGTCAGCCTGTCTCTCACCCCCAGACTGGGGAATAGAGGAAAACTTTTAATAGATCGCAGAAGGGTCATGTAGAGAGGGGTCCCTTGGGATTAGCTTCTGTCCTTTGGTTGAGGAATGTAACCAGGCTGTGATGAACCCACAGGCAGGAGCCAGGGAAAGAAACAGTTCCCCCTCACACTCCTCTCTCCCTCTGCCGCTCTGCTGAGGTTTCCCACTGGCTGTACTTAACCAGAAGGTCACAGCCTCGGACTGCAGTTCAGTTAGGTGAGCCTCTTGAGATTCTATTTTGATGATAATATAGAAATTGTTGAATTCCCTTTAAATTGTGGCAGGGTGGGGGTGGAGAATGAATCTGGGTAGGTAAAGTAGTTCCTAACCATCTCCCATCACCTTGGGCGAGCCCAAGCCCAGGGCATGGGTGATTGACCCAGGGGTGGCAATGCCCTGGGCCAGGACAATGAGAGTCTTTTCTTGGAATTCTGATTTTAAACTGCAAGTAGGAAAAAAAATGTCAGACTTTTTCTGGTGGCAAAAGTTACCATGCGACTCTTAGGACCTGCTGGAGGCCATGTTTTTCATGGTAGAAAGGAGGCCAGGCCACCAAAAGAGAAGGGAGTATACACAGATCAGTGCTGGAAAGAGGATCCTGGTGGCACTTGAATCTGCTTCCAGTAGTTCTCACTGTACAATGCTACCAATGTCTTTTTCACACTTTGCTTAGATTAATAAAAAGTCAGTGACCAGATTCTGTTCTGAAAATATTTTGAAATATGGGAATGAACTATTCTTTTCTTACTTCTTTGTTACCTTTCCTCTAAACATCCAGAATTATCCAAAAGTGTTCAGCTTCTGATTTCTGTAATAAGCTCCTACAACTAATTTCAGAGTCAACTGATGTGAATGGTAAAGGTTTTCTTCTGAGATTTTTGTTTTTTCCTTAGGAGAAAAAATACGTTTTGGAAATCAAAAAGCAAAGACCTGAAGAATCAGAACAAAACTAAAAACAAAACAAAACAAAAAACAGATTTAACAGAGGATAAAGATAAGGTTACCTAATGTATGTGCCCCTCCACTACCCCAAATTGGGGTAATAATAAGAATTACTACGTATTTTTTTGTTAGAATTAAATGAGACAATATATTGAATATGTTTAGAACAGTGCTTGCCTCACAATAAAACACTCCTTAGATAAGTGATCTTATTAGTGTTATTGCTGTTATTGTAGTTATTGCATGCTGAAAGAAGAAATTCAATTTACCTTGCTGAGAAGGCAGAAAGATGGAAGAGGACGTAAGTAGGGAACCAGTGAGAACTGCAGGGTTGGGAAGGACCCCATGGGGTGGTACAAAATCGATGCTGAGATTGACAGGGTCTGTCTAAGAAAACCTGACATACAGGCAGGGCCCTCTGAACACTTCATGGAAGCTAAACTCATATGATGTCTCTCTTTCTCTATCAGTATTTTGGATCTACTTTCTATTGTGCTGGCTTCATTCTTAAGGCAGGCTATCTTGATGTGGTAGCAAAGATGGCCACCAATAGTTCTAGTCTGGCCCAGTCCTCACAATCCATGTTCATAAACAACCAGGTGCCACTTTAATCATAGTTCCAGAAAAAGTCTTGTGGAAAACTTATTCTATAATTATTACGAAGTCACAATGACTATCACGGAAGGCTTTATTCTTAGTGATCTGTAATAAGGTCCTACAGTCAGTCATTTTCAGGAGCAGTAACATGATGAATGGAGAGTTTTAAACATGTTATTTCATTTAAGTCCCATAGCATCTCTATGATATATAGACTATTATCCCTATTTACAAGTGAAGGCACTGAGATTCAATGATGCTAAATACCTTGCTCAAACATCCTTTACCTAGGAATTGGCAAAATTAGTATTCAAATTCAGATACGACAGATGCCACAGCTTGCATTTTCTTCTATACTCCGTTTAGTAATTAATGTGAAATATGTAAACGGTATTTTATTATAAGAAACTTAGTTTCCTTTTCTATTCCCTTTTTTCTCTCGTAAATTATACTCACGTTTCATCTCATTTTTTGTAGCTGTAATTACACAAATGCTCTCATCTAAGATGTGTTTAAATGATGCAAACATTATTGAACAGAATGAAAACTTAATTAAACATAATTGTGGTAGTGATTGGCTGATATTTTTCTCTATGTTTCTGGCCAGTATTACATTGTAAAGATATGATAAACTCTTTACCAAAGGCCCACTGATATACTTTGGATATTTGTCCCCTTGAAATCTCATATTGAAATGTGCTCCCCAGTGTTGGAGGTGGGGCCTGGTGAGAGGTGTTGGGGCCATGGGGGTGGATCCCTCATGAATGGCTTGGTGCTGTCCCAGTGGTAATTACTGAGTTCTTGCTCTGTCGTTCTCCCTCTAATAGTTCACATGAGAGCTGAGTGTTTAAAAGAGCCTGGCACCTCTCTTGTTCTCTGTCTTGCCATATGACATGCCAAGTCTCCTTCCCTTCTGCCATGCCTAAAAACTCACTGAGGTCTTACCAGAAGCAGATACTGGCACCAAGCTTCCTGTACAGTCTCTAGAACCATGAGCCAAATAAACCTCTTTTCTTTATAAATTACCAATCTCAGGGAGCACTTCTTTACAGCAATGCAAAAGTGGATTAATATACCCACAAAGTACCTTTCATATGTGAAATAAACCCAGAAACAAGGAGAAGTGGAAATACAGTATGAAGCATTAATAAAATGACTGGATGAATACTTTAAAAGTGAATTGTCAAGCATAAAATACTTTAATTACATAAAAATTCACATAGACTACTGTAAGAAAATATGGATATATTTCATCCATACTAAGCTTTTTCTAAAATTACTTTTCTTTTTTTCATAAGCAATTTATTAATTTAGAAAAAAATACGATTCATAAACTCAGCTGAAGGAATTTGGCTGAAATGTCACTACCAATATTAAATGTCATCTTTCAAGATAGAGCCATCTTAAAATTACTTTTCTAATGTGATTCATACTCAGTACTTCTAAAGCTGATAAGATGCTTTATTTTGTTTATTTGAGAAAACAAGTTGCAAAATATACCCTTATGAAGAAACACAGGGATTTGCATTTTACCTGCCTTATCTTGTTGAAATCTGATTCAAACCCTTTCAGCATGCACAGCTCAAAGTAATGGACACCCTATGGCTAAGAACTTTTAGTTGCAAGGGAGAGAAAATCTGACCCAAACTTAGCTTGCCTAACGGAAAACTTTAAGGGTAGCCAAATGGATTTAGGACTCAAATGATGACATCAGGATTCGGTTGTTCTCTCTGTTTCAAGTCAGGGCAAGATGGCAGATGCTGCCATAACCCCTGCATTTGTTCAGGGTCCAGGGCTTTATGTTCTTCTGCAACAGGCCAAACAATATTTCCTGAATTTAATCTCAGAGGCTTTGATTAGATGGACCGTGGTTACATGCCATCCTAGAATCAGTCTCTGCTCTATCTATAAAGCCAGTGCCAGCTTCAGCAGAATGTTGGGATCAAAAGTGGTGATGATGGTGGAATTTCAAAGGAAATTTAGTAGGGTTACCAGAGAGGTATAAAAGTATATTGAATGGCAGGAATATTAGCAGTCCACAACAGGCACTGTGAAAATACCAGTAGATTGACTAATTATGGAGCCGTGGTAATCCATGTAGTCTTGGTGATTATGTAGAAAACCAGCTGCAAGGCCAAAGGGGACATGCTGATGGTCTATAATTTTCTTGCAGTTAACTGGGCACAGATAGAATCATGTTGGCCCACAGAGTCTTCCTTTGCCCCTTGGTAAATCTCTGTGGAACTTCTATATAGCAGTAATTACATATGAATTCAGATAATAGTGAGCAGGTATGCATTTAGAGAAAACAAGTGGGTCTATGAGGAAACATGGATGGGAAAAGATATTTGCCATGGTCTCCACCTGGGAGTATAGGGGCAGGTGCGAAGATCTTTGTTTTCAAAGACTCAAAACCTCAGTGGTAATGGATAAACATCTCTGTCAACAGGGGACTATGAGTCATTTGCCTTTGCTTTGAGGTTTTCTTCCCCACATTTATCTATTAACAACACTGACTGGTTTGGTCGGATAAAACACCAATACTTACCTCTTTCATTTTAATCATATCTCTCTGTCAATGTACCAGAAATACTCAGTGAATGTATTAAGTCGGTAGGATACTGTATACATCAGTCAGTGCCACCCAGTGAATTACTTAGCATTTGGGAAGTATTGGTAAAGAAAAGTAAGACGGCGGGTGTTGCTACCTTTTTGCTGAGGAAGACACTAAAGCAGCATCAAATCACTCAAGTAATTAAAGTCCTTTATACTGTGCTAGAATTGAAGATAATGCCAGGTTATCAAATGTCATTTTTACGAACACCAGTCACCAAATTAGAACTTTAAAATAGGGATAAGAGATAAAAGAACACACCCAACTGATAGGTGTTTTCCATCCGAACTGTAAGGCGAGAGATGTCATCACGCTGACTGGGTTCATCCATGTAAGACACAGTACTCATAGAGCTAAAAACAGGGAGAAAATAAATTTTCATCATTATTATAACAATAATAACAAAATACAATATTGCTTTAAGCTTCAATGTTACAAAGAAAGTTTTCTCAGAAAATTTCAAGTCCTATGTAAATATCCCAGTGATATACTAAAAGGCCAAAACATTTTAGAGATGGAAATATTAAGATGCAGAGGAGTTATCTGGAGCAGGTCTCAATGTGATGGTTGAGGCCCAGGGCAGTTACTCAGATCATCAGATTATCCAGAAAGTGATCCTGGGTTGATGTATGTGTATGGGGTAACAGTACATACTTCAAAATCCATTGCCAGTCGAGTCTCCACCACTGATAAAAGGCTCTCCTCAAAGTAGACAAAGCTCACAAACGGGGGTTATATGAGGAAGCTTAAAATGTTGGGAAACAACTCTGTATATACGTGGGGTATTATAAAGGGTTCACTATTATATGTAGTTCACAAAATCCCTTTAGTATAAAAAAAAGAAAAACGAGAGACTTGTCTACGTGGTAAAGGAAACCGCAATTCACCAAAACTATCACAAATTAATAAGCATCAGCCCTTTTCAACGTTAAAAAAGGGTTTTGGTTTCATTATCAAGGCAATATGAGTTTATCCCTGTGCTAAACAGGAGACCCATGCAAAGAGGAGCCCCCAGTGCCTCTCCAGCACTATTTAATTCAATTTAGTTCAGAGGAAATTCAGCTGTAACTAATGACAGTCTCAGAACTCCACACCCTCAATTTTCTCCACCTGTGAAAATGAACGTTAAGACAGATGTCATTTCAAAGGGGAGGCTATAATAGCATGTGTGTGTGTGTGTGTGTGTGTGTGTTCAGAGTGACCACTTTCTTCCTAAGCAGGCTATTTTTGCTTTAATTAAATAAAAAAGAGATATTTGCTTTTTATCTTTGGAGATATTTTTTCTCTCCAAGGAATTTAAAATACTTCTATGCTGTTAGGAATTAATGAACTTCTTGCAAATTGATATTTTAAGAAAATCAGAGATACTCTATTTTTAAAAACCCTTTAATGCAATACAACTTACATGATAAATTAGCAGCCCAAGAAAATGGTGGAATAAATTCTGTTTTTTTCATGATGGATTTCTGGATGAGTGACTTAGTCTTTATTCTTAGAACACCTGGGTTCCTCAATTTAATGCTGCCCTTTGAAATAGCAGCCAACCTGTTTGGCCACACTGGCTGCAGGTGTTGTGGATAATACCAAAGATGATCACTGCCACTTAAAATATTCAATGTTACATAAACCCTTTGATTTCAAGATAAGCCAGTCTGCCCCATTACTATATATGCTACTTTTAACTTTGTAAAACATTTCCCATAAATTATCTCACTTTACCTTCACAATACCCGTTGAGGTAAGTAAAATATTCATTGTTCTACCCATTTCAGAGATAAAGGGAATAAGAGAAAGGACTTAATGTACATGTATAAAAGGGAGATAGATTTCAAACGTCCTGTTTACCTCTCAGTGACAAAGTCCCACATCTGATTACAACTGACAGAATGAAGATGGGGCAATGACTACCTGAAATAATTAACCACTGCAATGAAAACTTGTGCAAACCTGCAGAAGGTATTTATAAAAACTCGGCTTCTTTTCTAGTGAACACCATATTAAAAATTTATGGAGAAGAAGAGGTGGTGCAAAACCCAAATTAGCTGGGTGAAAAGTCCAAGACAAAAAAGCAAATAAGGATTTTTATAAACTGTCTTCACTATCAATTATGAAAGATTGACAATCAGTGCACTTACTATTATTATCCTTATGAAATTGGTAAGTGTCATAAGGGCAGCTTAAAAGCCCCACTGGTTGAAGATTCGTGCGCAAATAGAAAGTTTTGCAGATTGACTTTTTTTTGATGATGATGAATTTGTTCAGTGCCCTTTTATTTCCACAGTCATCATGTAAACAGTAGATGCTCATTTAAAAAAATTCAAAACATACAGAAAAACAGAGAGAAGAAAGTAAAATTGCACAAAAATTACCAACCCCAGTGTTTAAACCCTGTTAACATTAAGAAAATCAGTTCAGACATTTGATTTTACATATAGGATCATATTATAGATGCTTTTTAAAAAATTTAAAATGTATCAAGAATAACTTTCCATGTCAATAAATGGCAAACAATACTTTAAATATCAAGCCAATACTTAATATATGCACATTCTGGATTTCATTTAACCATTTATACTCCGTGCCTTTCAGGGTGTTTCCATTATTCTGCTATTATTAAAAAATTACAACAAACATTGTGTCAGGGACTCCTATTTACTTTCTAATGTTGTTCTCTCCTTCTTCCTTAGTAATAGAATCCTACATTTGTAGGAATACTCCTGTGCAGACTAAAGACAAATTCTCAGTCTCTTTTTGTGCTATTGTGGCCTATGTAGCTAATGAGTCAATAAGAAGTAAGCGGAACTGTTTTGCGAAAATTCTGAGCGGTACCTCTAAAGACCTAATGCAGCCTATAGGAGCCTGTTTTTACCTGTCTTGGTGACTGGAATGTGGATGTTCCAGAGCTCAGCACTATCTTGGGTCTTGAGATGACCTTGTTGATTACAGATAAGAAAGACAGAAGCCTCTGAACTTCCTCTCTCCAGACTTATTTTATGTAAGAGAAAAATAAATTTCTATTTTGTTTAATGTTTATTATTATAAGCAGCAGTCTAACTAATACAGAGTTTGCTACCTGGAAGTAGGATGCTACAAACAATCAATAAATGTAAAAGTTGGGGGTGGCAGTGGTGGCTCACACCTGTAATCCCAGGATTTTGGGAAGTCGAGGTGGGCAGATCACTTGAGGCCAGGAGTTCAAGACCTGACTAGGTAACATGGCAAAACCCCATCTCTATTAAAAACGTATTTTCAAAAAATGAGCCAGGTGTGGTGGTGCACACCTGAAATCCCAGGTACTTGGGAGGCTGAGGCACAAGAATTGCTTGGACCCAGGAGGTGGAGGATGCAGTAAAGCCAAGATCATGCCACTATACTCCAGCCTGGGCAACAGAGCAAGTCTCTGTCTCAAAAAACAAAACAAAAAACAAAAAAACCTCATAAAAATTGGAATTTGTTTTAGAAAGGAACTGGGACTTTGAGGAGTAAATCTGCAATATTTTGCTGAAAATCTGGTAATTCTTTTTTTATAAAAAACTATTATTTTAGGTTGGGGGTACATGTGAAGGTTTGTTACATAGGTGAACTCATGTCACGGGGGTTTGTTGTACAGATTATTTCATCATCCAGGTATTAAGCTCAGTACCCAGTAGTTATCTTTTCTGCTCCTCTCCCTCCTCCCACCCTCAACCCACCTGTAGGCCCCAGTGTTTGTTGTTCCCCTCTTTGTGTTCACGAATTCTTGTCATTTAGCTCCCAAAGGCTAGTGAAACCTGGAAATTCTTATCATGCAGAGGGAAAACATTTAGTCTATTGCTTTCTGTGCCTTAGAAGGCTGACTGTGTATCAAGTAAGACTATAACTTTCTGAAAAGTTGTAGGAAACGTTTACTTTTTAAAACCTGTGTTTATGGCATTATAAAAATCTGAGATCTGATAGTTCCTACATTAGAATGAAATGGGTTAGAAAAAGAGAGAGAAAAAAAAGGAGAAAAAGTTGAATAGAAAAAAGATATTTAGTCCTTGAGAAAAGACAAAAGGAAGACAGAAAACATTTAAAATGCTTGCAGTATGGGAAAATAACATTAAGCCAGAACATGGGCTTGGTATATTTTTAGAGATAAAACTGTTTCTATCTTTTAAAATTGGGGAATTGCCAGTATCAGTTCAGAATGCTGGTTTAGAAAACCCTGGGCATATTTTCTCTTGGTAAACAGATTCACTCACATCCTTTGAAATCTTTAAAGATAAATATGTGAGATACCCAAAAAGTAAATTTATAATTTAATTACCAGTGCTGTGTACCTGGCACAATACATTTTTGGGATATATGTCAGAACATTACAAATGGATGGGTTTCAGTTGTCTATCATCAGACTTTCCCTAGTTTACAATGACAACCCTTCTAGACATGTGATCTCATTGCAAAGTGAATGCTATCGTTTTATTTTTTAAATATAAAAAAAGGTTCTTGCTGTCTATGTGTTTTACCAGCTTGTTGGCATTTATGGAGAAAAAATTCAGTTTATAAAATGTGTCCCAGAGAGTTAGAAAGTTTTAGAAAGAAAGACAGAAAAGTAATGTAATAAAAGAAAGCCTGGTGTAAACCACTGGTGAGAACACTCAGCTAATTAAATAATATTATCGCAGATGGAAGAGTAACCACTCGTAACTCAACGAAAAATTCAGTGAATATCTGGAACCACATGTGCCATTGCTGAGGACAGACAGCCTGCATACAGAAGTAGCTGCATGAAATTGGTCCAAAACGACAAAAGTAATCCTCCTTATGTGTACCTGGCCGACACTGGAAATGCACCGTGCTAATCCAAGAGTATGCATTCTGATTATTTGCAGGAAAAAGGCAAAAAAATTAGTTAAGTTAGAACATAATTACTCTTTAATGAAATTTATTTTTTCTTAAAAACATCTTGCAAATTTGCTTGCTGACCAGTCTTTAGATTACATAGATAAACACAAGGCATGTCTTTTTGTTATGACAGTTAGAGATGGTAACAATAATTTCAGTTAATTCTCATCAGCCATAATAGCATGTAATTATTATTGAGAACTTACTTCCCGACATTTTCAATGTTATTATTATTTTACCTAGATGTTTTGAAGCTGCAGGAGGAAATAATATTGAATGCGTAACTGGCTTAGAAGACATTAAAGTAGTAGGTTTAAAGGTCTGAATATCATCACTTCCTTCTATATATTTGTAATGGTATCATTTAAGTGTGTCTTTTTTTGGTGGTGGGGGGCGGGAGGGGGGATAAGCTGTTACTGAAATCATGTGCTGCCTCCCAGTGGAGATATTTCAGAGTGCACAGAGGAAAATAAGGTCTTCAGGGTAT